TTTCAGATCTGAAAGTCTGAAATCTTGACGAGAGATGGCGCTATGCCTAAATGAGCGCCATTTTGTTTTAAAGCGCAAATAAAAACAAAATATTCCAGTCAAATTACTGTAACGAAGAATCTAAAACACAATATTACACGTATATAGGTATGATTGTAGAGTTGTTAACCAGTTAGACGAAATAAACGTAATAGGACGTTGTCATATCTCCCATAGGAGTAACAACTGTTTTGGGGCTAGCCTTACACATTAACATACCAAAATTTAACAAAATCGAATGAATTTAGATGGCCATTTTCATTTTTGCCAAAAAGTGGACGTGGCTCGAAAGTAGGTCGACTGGCGTGCTCCAAAAATGGACGTTCAACCCTTTCCCATAGGAGTAACAACTATATGCAATTTGAAACATGTCGGTCAAATTGTTCTAGAGTTATCGTTGACCATAGGCAGCACTGAAATGCATAGTGAAATTGCCAAAATCTACCTAATTTGCATAATTTAAAAAAAATATCAAAACCTGTGTTACATGTTTTGGGGCCAGTCCTTATTCATTCACAAACCAGAAATGAGCAAAATCCGTTGAACCTGAACTGACTTATGGCCATTTTCATTTTAGCCAAAAAGTGGACGTGGCTCGAATGTAGGTCGACTGGCATGCTCCAAAATAGGACGTTCAAACCTCTCCAAGAAGAGTAACAACTATATGCAATTTGAAACATGTGGGTCAAACTGTTCTTGAGTTATCGTTGACCATAGCCAAATGTTGACGGACGGACGGACGGACGACACCCCATGGCAATAGCTCATCTTGACAATGTCAAGGCGAGCTAAAAATTGAGAAGCATCGTATCGAAGTCATGGCAACATTTATAAATTTTATACTCTCCAACCTCCAGCACATATGCTATATTATACCTGTTCTGGCTTTGCTAGTCTTGGGGCACTCTCCACGTTAACACAATCCTCATCGGCGTCGTTGTCATCCTAAAATAATGCACTAACAATCAAATATCCAACCGTAACAGTGGTACCGGTCGCTCCAAGTCACACGATCGAAGGTCACTACGCCGTGACCGTGGCCGCAGTAAAAGCTCGAGTAGGGTGAACTCTAACATTCATTCATTATACGAGCAGTCACAATCAGAATATGAATCTGAGAACGTAGGACAGGCATTTGATCGCATGAAGTTTTCGAGTATTGGTGTAGGCGCTGTCACACAGCCGAGCCACATTGGAGAAAGTAGAGATGAAATTTTCTCCGACCTCGACATCATAGTGCCAAGTCGTGAGGATCGCGATGCTTCCCTAAAGGTCAAGGTCGATACTGGCGCGCAGGGCAACACCCTGCCGATACGCATTTTCAGACGTATGTGTCCACAGATGCTCACACCCGATGGGTACCCCAGAGCAGACAGAGTGCAGAACAGAGCCATGACTTTGACTGCATACAACGACACAACTATCAAGCACTATGGTTCGATCGGACTGCCGTGTAGTTACAACAACAAGAATGTTGTGGCAGAGTTTTACATCGTTGAATGTGATGGGCCGGCGATATTGGGGTTATTGTCATCGTTAGCGCTAAAACTAGTAACAGTGCATTGCGCTATCACAGCTAAGCCGCAGAAACCTGTGGTCAGCCAGAGAACTCACCTGTGCCGACGAGTTTCGAGCGTTGACGGCAGCGAAGTCTTTAGCCTGGTGCAACATATTCACAACAGATTTCTCTTCATCCAGATGCCTCGACAAGATGGGCGAATGAAGCTCCCTGCATGGAAGTAATGATGGGACACAGTTTAGTGCTGCAGTAATTTAGGAATGTATGAGACAAGGGCAGTCAACGATGATCAGTCGCAGACAGGCACACATTAAAATACTTGTGCATACTCGCATCATTTCATACACACAAAGAGTGAAACTGCCCCCTAAATACAATGAACCTTGACCATTAACTCGCCCCTTGGTCTCCTAACTGCTATAATATATATGTAACCAGTATGCACAGGCTTAGTAGCTAAGTAAGTGCAATGTAGAAAACCTCCAGCCAAGTTGTTTTCAGATTACGCAAGACAGCTGGAGCGATTCGTTCACCTATATTGCAAAGGACATATTTTTTTAATTGTAATTTTTAACTTACACCTATACTCGTTACGAAGATCAAGGCTAACAAATGCATACTGCATGGAATACTCTAGATACATTTATTAATGTAACCCAACAAGTATTAGATAATATTCCCAATGCGCATAGCGTTCGGCTAACTTCGTCATGACGTCATGACTGACGGCAGGCATCCCATGATGCATTCGATCTTGGAGCCGAAGTTAGCCGAACGCTATGCGCATTGAGAATCTGTACGTCACAGGTCAACAGAAATGGCGCTCGAAGTATCGCCGCTCGTCACTTCGAAATTTTGTAACAGGTTATATTAGTTTAATACAGAGTATTGTGATACATAGTAAGTCCCAGGATAGCGGAGAAAGGTTCGTGTTTAGAACAAGTGCTGCAGAGCGACAGCGCTCATCTAACGTCTACTGTGGTGACTCTGTGGTG